ATGTAATTTGAACAGAGTACATATCTGACAGCTAGACTATATCTCTGCTCTGATCCTTTCTAGTTTTTTTGTGTGTGTTGTTGTTTTGTTGTTTATTTTTTCATTTCATAATTTAACCTACCTAGGTTATTTCATTTGCTTTATTTTCGGAGATGGGTGTGTGTCGGAGCAATTATTGTCTGTCTCATGTACTTACTGCCTGTAACAACGACTCTGAAGTGTATGTGTATTAATCCTATTTTTGCTCATGAAGAAACTGAGGTTCAGAGAAATGAATAAACTTCTATGTCAAAAAAACATAAGTGACCAAGTTGAAGTTGAAATCATGGTCCGTTTGGATCCAGTTTAATCTCTTGCTGCAATACCACACTACTGTTTCTCTAGTTCTGACTTTATTAATTGCCTCCAAATGCATCAACAGGAGTAGGGAACAGTCATGGGATTTCTCTTAGGTTCTGTAGATTCACTGCAGGAAGACAACACTTTGTGGTTTTTTTTTTGTTGTTGTTGTTGTTGTTTTTTTGAGACGGAGTTTCACTCTTGTTACCCAGGCTGGAGTGCAATGGCATGATCTCGGCTCACCGCAACCTCCGCCTGGGTTCAGGCAATTCTCCTGCCTCAGCCTCCTGAGTAGCTGGGATTACAGACACGCGCCACCATGCCCAGCTAATTTTTTGTATTTTTAGTAGAGACGGGGTTTCACCATGTTGACCAGGATGGTCTCGATCTCTTGACCTCGTGATCCACCAGCCTCGGCCTCCCAAAGTGCTGGGATTACAGGCGTGAGCCACCGCGCCTTGCCAAGACAACACTTTTAATATAATCATCTCAAGACTCCAAGAGCAAGAATTACTGACTCCGGATAAATTCCTAATAGTGAAATTACTCAGTAAACTTTTCTGCACATTTTCTTAAACTTTTACTGTTTATTAGCAAATTGCCCTTTAAATAAGTTCTTCCTATCAAGTAACTTAATTCCCAGCAGACTATGAGTTACCTCTGTCCTGTACTACTACTACTAATAATAATAATAATGATAATTACTTATATAGTGCTTATTATGAGCAGAAAACTTGTAGGTGGTTAAAGTACATTAATTTATTTGATTACCAAAATAGTCCATCATTTTAGAAATGAAGAATACTAAAGTACAGAAAAGTTAGATTACTTGCCAAAGTCATGCAGCAAATAAGTAGAGGTAATAGAACTGTGATTTGAAATTAGGCAGTCTTTATTGACTATGTCAAGATTGGATATTTTACTGGTCTTTAAAATTTTATATACAAAAAATGTTTCACAGTTAATTTAATTTGTATTTTTCTATTTAAAGAAGATAAATATTTTTCTTTTTTCCTTCCTTTTCTCCCTTTCTTCTTTCCTTTTTCTTTTCTTTCTTTCTTTTTTCTTTTGTAAAATACTGGTTAATATCATTTGCCTATTTTTCCCTTGGAGTGTTTATTTTTAAAAAATTTTAAAAAGTGTGTGTATGTCATAGATAGTTCTCATGTGTTATATACGTTGTAACTTTTCTGTTTGTCTTTAATTGCTTAATTTTTATTATGTTGTTGATAGTTTAAAATTCTTATTTAATGAAATTTATTAATTTTTCTATTTGTGATTTTTCTTTGTTGTTTTAATCAGATTACCATCATGCCTAGCTTAAGTAAATATTTGCTCTAATATTTTTCCGCAAATTTTATTATTTCATTTTTCTTCTAGAATTTATTTTGATATTTAACTTAAAAGTTTATTGATGGCACTCTTTCCATGTTTTCAAAACTATTAGGGGTTTATTATTTTTCTCATTTTTGTCACTTCAGTGGGATTTGGTAAAAGAGAGGGTAAAAAACGTAAGCTCAGCTGCGACTCTGAACAAGAAAGCTAAATTTTGAAATAACTAGTTATTTACTTTCTTGTCACCCAGGCTGGAGTGTCGTGGCGTGATCAAGGTTTACTGCAACTTTAACCTCCCAGGCTCAAGCAATCCTCCCACCTCATCCTACCATGTGTCTTGGACTACAGCCACTAGCCATCAAGCTCAGCTAGTTTTTTTTTTTAAATGGTAGAGATGGGGTCTGGCAATGTTTCCCACGCTGTTCTTGAACTCCTGGGCTCAAGGGATATGACCGACTTGGCTTCCCAAAGTGTTGGGATTACAGGCATGAACCACTGCACCTGACCTTGTTCATTGTCTTACATGTCTCTTACATGGTTTGTTAAGATCTTCTACGTCATTAATATATTTTGGCCATATCTACCTTCCTAGAAATGCAGTCATCAGGGCTTTTTTTTTTTTTTTTTTGTCATTAACCAAGATTTTTACAAAGTATTTCTTTATAACTAAAAAAAAAAAAATCCCTTCATATGTGACTAAATGTATTCACAGAATACTAGTTTTTGTATTTTTCTTGGTGCCCTTTCTTTGTTTCAGCTAATTAATGCTATGCTTTTCACTAACGAGGATATGCATGTTTGACTACTGGATTGTCCATTTTATTTCACTGTAACTTAAAACATTAAAAGTAATATATTTTGAAGTAAAATGTCAAAATATCATGTAATTTTTAAAGTAAAGAAAGAGAATGCAAAGAAGTATGCTTGTGGAAGTTTCCTCAAGAGGGTGAGTATGGTTTTGCCTCTCTGATGTGTATTTTGGTGAGGGAATTGTAAGCCAAGACAATCACCAATTAATAATGGTTTGTGTATTTGGCTTGTTTCTTCAAATATCTTCTTAGATTTATTCAACCAATTTTACTTGTTCTGTTTGTTAATTCATTAATATTTGCTTTTCTCATTCTGTCGCTGACACCCCATTTCCCTCCTTTTATTTTCCGTTGACTTCTTTATTTGAATGCCTAAGTCACTTATTTTCAATCTGTTGTTCAATATTTAAAGGCTTTGAATGTATAAATTTCAGTCTGAGTTCATCCACATAGTACATAATAATTAAAATAATATTAAACTGGAGCTTGATAAGAATGCAGCTTCCAGTGCGCCACTTGTTTCAGTAGGTTTGGCGTGGCGTCTAGAAATCTGCATTCTTAACGACGTTCTCGATCACATGTAGAAAAATCCTAGCATTATTATTGCTGTATATGTGCTCATTATCATTATTTTTGTAAATTTATTCTAATTAGAATGTTGCACTTTGTCTCAAAAGTATTTAGATTTAATAATCAAATGGTTGGGTCTTTGTTCACCCTTTGATTATTAATATCTAGTTTTCTTCTATTGAAATTAAGATTATCTATAATATTTTCATATTCTCACCGCCCATAATTAACTATTGGTAATATTTTACCATATTTGCTTTCATTTTAAAGATACGAAGTATTTTTAAATATTTAAGTTCCCTTTAATCACTATCCTGTATCATATTCCATTTCCTCTTCCTCATGGGTGCAAGTTTGGTATATTTCTAAAATAATATTTCATATGTATATATAAGAATGCATTAGAATGCTGTTTGGCATGTATTAGATTGGTGTAAAAGTAACTGCAGTTTTTACGATTATTTACAATGGCAAAACCATTGTATAATAATATCTATTTCTTATTTTCAATGGCAGAAAACACAATTACTTTTGTGCTAACCTAATACTAATTAATTTGGGTTTTTAGATCTATACATATTAACATATTTAAAGCTAGTCTTTCTTTTACCTCTGTATTTTATTAATTATATTAAACACACTATATTATTACATTCCCCCATCAATGGATATAACATACCTGTATATATATATATATTTTTTATCTTGAGATTTACTAAGGCATTTGTGACCTAATGACTTTGAAATGCTGCTAAATGTTCAAAGCATTGGTGCTTTGATGGATGCCTGTTAGAGCGTAGGGGCTGGGAGAAGAATTTTCTGTGTGATTTAACCTAGAGTTAGAAATATATAGATAAATTTGAAATTATCTCTTCTATTTTTCCAGTTCTCTTCCTCAGCTTTGCTACATCTTTATTGCTTTTACTTAATCTGTAATGAAATTAGGTATATATGTCAATGTTTGCCACTACTGTTATGTGCCTGTCAATTTCTACCCATACTCTTCCCCAAAATACCTTTCACCAGTGCATACCTACAAAAATCATTAGAAAATTCAAAATTTTATAAAAATAGAAAATAATATTCATAATTTCAGTGAACTGTACTAACAGCCATTAACTTATTTGTGAATAGCCTTCCAGATATTTTTACACTTACAGTTTACATGTACAACAAACTGTTCAAAGATTGGTTTTCAAATAAAAATGTATTTATTGCATTTTTGATATTGTAACATATATTCTTGTATGGTTTCTAACTGTACAGAAATATACAAAGCCAAAATTGAAAATACTCTGTGATTTCCCTATAACTATAGTTTATTTCATATTTACCTTTAAAGACACTGTGTATTTTCTTGTGTGATAATATCATAATGTGCTCGACTAATCTCATGTAAACCGATATTTTAAATATTTAAATAACGTTTTAAAATGCTACAACGTATATACATTCTATACATAAATATTTTTGCATCCTTATCTGATTATTTTCTTAGGTGAGTGTCTAGGTTAGGCATTTCTAAATAAAGGTGGAAACATTCGAAATGCTGATATATATTTTCAAATTGCCCTGTGATTGTAACAATTCACACTTCAGCTAGCCTGAGAGTGCATTTTTTAGGGGTCCCTGTCAACAGGAAGGTTTACCATTATTTTTTTCCCCTGCCAATATAACCCAAAAGTAGAATTTTATTGTTTTAACTTGAATTTTTTTTTGATTACTAGTGAGATTAATCGTCCTTTTTTAATGTCTATTGACCATTTGCACTCCTTTTGTAAAATGCATGCTCCTGCTGTCTTCTTCCCTTCCCCCATTGGGGGTTGTTCCTCCTTTCTTTTTGCTTTGTCAGAGTTCTTTATTATTCATTTTTCGTCTTTTACGTGGGATCGGTTCGAATCAGGCTTTCACCCTTTTACTGCCTTACAGATTTCTAATGTTTATTCTCCATCGGTCTTTTAATGTCGTTTACAGAAGCTGACTCTCTACCGCCGCCTTCTCTCCGTCCCACCCTCTCTGCCTCGCCTGCTCTGTACTGTTCTGTTCTGTTCTCTCTCTCCCTTTGTTTCTCTCTCTCCCTTTTTTTTTTCTTTTCAGTGCAGAAGTTTTTAATTTTGACCGAGCCAAATCTATCAATCTAGGCCTGGCGCCGCGTCAGCAGAGAGGGCGGGGAGGCGAGCGCGGAACTGGGGGAGGGGAAGGGGCGGGGAGCAGCAGGCGGAGCGGCTGCCGGAGTTGCTGGGAGTGCGCGCGGTCGGATCACAAGGCGGCGGCGGAGGAGGCCTAGAGACTGGAGCGCGGAACCTCAGCCCGCGGCCTACGCCCAGTCCTTTCTCCGGAGGACCACGGAACCACAGTCTTCATCACAGAGGTACCGTGCTCCGCGCTCCCCGCCCGACCCGGCCCAGCCCGCTACGGCGGCGCCTCCTTCCTTCCTCCTTCCCTCGCTCTCTCTCTTTCGCCGGCCCGCGCCTTTCCTGCCCGCCTGCGTCACCGCGGCCGCCATGGCTGAGAATGGCGAGAGCAGCGGCCCCCCACGCCCCTCCCGCGGCCCTGCTGCGGCCCAAGGCTCGGCTGCTGCCCCGGCGGAGCCTAAAATCATCAAAGTCACTGTGAAGACTCCCAAAGAGAAAGAGGAGTTCGCGGTGCCCGAGAATAGCTCGGTCCAGCAGTTTAAGGAAGCGATTTCGAAACGCTTCAAATCCCAAACCGATCAGCTAGTGCTGATTTTTGCCGGAAAAATCTTAAAAGATCAAGATACCTTGATCCAGCACGGCATCCATGATGGGCTGACTGTTCACCTTGTCATCAAGAGTCAGAACCGACCTCAGGGCCAGACCACGCAGCCTAGCAATGCCGCGGGAACTAACACTACCTCGGCGTCGACTCCCAGGAGTAACTCCACACCTATTTCCACAAATAGCAACCCGTTTGGGTTGGGGAGCCTGGGAGGACTGGCAGGCCTTAGCAGCCTGGGCTTGAGCTCGACCAACTTCTCTGAGCTCCAGAGCCAGATGCAGCAGCAACTCATGGCCAGCCCTGAGATGATGATCCAAATCATGGAAAATCCCTTTGTTCAGAGCATGCTTTCGAATCCCGATCTGATGAGGCAGCTCATTATGGCTAATCCACAGATGCAGCAATTGATTCAGAGAAACCCAGAAATCAGTCACCTGCTCAACAACCCAGATATAATGAGGCAGACACTCGAAATTGCCAGGAATCCAGCCATGATGCAAGAGATGATGAGAAATCAAGACCTGGCTCTTAGCAATCTCGAAAGCATCCCAGGTGGCTATAATGCTTTACGGCGCATGTACACTGACATTCAAGAGCCGATGCTGAATGCTGCACAAGAGCAGTTTGGGGGTAATCCGTTTGCCTCTGTGGGGAGTAGTTCCTCCTCTGGAGAAGGTACGCAGCCTTCCCGCACAGAAAATCGTGATCCACTACCCAATCCATGGGCACCACCGCCAGCTACCCAGAGTTCTGCAACTACCAGCACGACCACGAGCACTGGTAGTGGGTCTGGCAATAGTTCCAGCAATGCTACTGGGAACACCGTTGCTGCAGCTAATTATGTCGCCAGTATCTTTAGTACCCCAGGCATGCAGAGCCTGCTGCAACAGATAACTGAAAACCCCCAGCTGATTCAGAATATGCTGTCGGCGCCCTACATGAGAAGCATGATGCAGTCGCTGAGCCAGAATCCAGATTTGGCTGCACAGATGATGCTGAATAGCCCGCTGTTTACTGCAAATCCTCAGCTGCAGGAGCAGATGCGTCCACAGCTCCCAGCCTTCCTGCAGCAGATGCAGAATCCAGATACACTATCTGCCATGTCAAACCCTAGAGCAATGCAGGCTTTAATGCAGATCCAGCAGGGGCTACAGACATTAGCCACTGAAGCACCTGGCCTCATTCCAAGCTTCACTCCAGGTGTGGGGGTGGGGGTGCTGGGAACCGCCATAGGCCCTGTAGGCCCAGTCACCCCCATAGGCCCCATAGGCCCTATAGTCCCTTTTACCCCCATAGGCCCAATTGGGCCCATAGGACCCACTGGCCCTGCAGGCCCCCCTGGCTCCACCGGCTCTGGTGGTCCCACCGGTCCTACTGTGTCCAGCGCTGCACCCAGTGAAACCACGAGTCCTACATCAGAATCTGGACCCAACCAGCAGTTCATTCAGCAAATGGTGCAGGCTCTGGCTGGAGCCAGTGCTCCACAGCTGCCGAATCCAGAAGTCAGATTTCAGCAACAACTGGAACAGCTCAACGCAATGGGGTTCTTAAACCGTGAAGCAAACTTGCAGGCCCTAATAGCAACAGGAGGCGACATCAATGCAGCCATTGAAAGGCTGCTGGGCTCCCAGCCATCTTAATTACATTTCTGTACCTGGAAAAAAAATGTATCTTATTTTTGATAATGGCTCTTAAATCTTTAAACACACACACACAAAATCGTTCTTTACTTTCATTTTGATTCTTTTAAATCTGTCTAGTTATAAGTCTAATATGATGCATTTTAAGATGGAGTCCCTCCCTCCTACTTCCCTCACTCCCTTTCTCCTTTGATTATTTTTCCTTCCTTCCCTTCCTCTTGTGTCCCCCTCCCTCCCTCTTTGTTTCCTTCCTTCCTTCTTTCCTTTAGTTTCCTTTCTTATCTGTTTTGAATGGTGGGAATCAATGCTGTTTCACTCAAAAGTGTTGCATGCAAACACTTTCTTTATTCTGCATTTATTGTGATTTTTGGAAACAGGTATCAACCTTCACAGTTGGGTGAACAAGTGTTGTCCTACAGATGTCCAATTTATTTGCATTTTTAAACATTAGCCTATGATAGTAATTTAATGTAGAATGAAGATATTAAAATCAGAAGCAAATTATTTGAAGCTCTCTAATTTGTGGTACGATATTGCTTATTGTGACTTTGGCATGTATTTTTGCTAGCAAAATGCTGTAAGATTTATACCATTCATTGATCTTTTTTGCTATATTTGTACACAGTACAGTAGGCACAATTGGAACTGTACATCTAAAAACATTACAGTAGAATTTCTGAGTGTAATATGTGTAACCAAAATGAGAACGAATACAAGAAATGTATCTGGAGCTAGGTATGTCTCACAGTTTTGTAGAATCTTACAGCATCTTTGATAAACTTCTCAGTGAAAATGTTGGCTAGGCAAGTTCAGTTAAAATATAGTAGAAATGTTTATCCTGGTATCTCTAAGTATACATTTAATTGTACAGAAAATTTACAGTGTAACATTGTGTCAACATTTGCAGATTGACTGTATATGATCTTAATCTTTGTGCAGCCTGAAGGATCAGTGTAGTAATGCCAGGAAAGTGCTTTTTACCTAAGACTTCCTTCTCAACTTCTCCCGTAAAGAGACCCTAATATGCATTTTGATTTGTAATTGGAAATGTAACTTTCACCGAAAGTGTTATGTGATGTTTGCATTACTTTTAACTGCTATGTATAAAAGAAAGTGTATCTTTTGACTTCATCAGTTATTTCTCTTGTGCACAGAGAAAAATGCATTAAAAATGACTAAAAAAAATAAAAAATTTAAAAATGGATAAATCTTTTTCTCTTTGCCTTTTGGCCCTAGGATCGTGTTTAGGAGGGTTAGCCCACCTGAAGATTATATAAATATTATCCTATATTTCTCTAACTTATATGGTTTTATTAAGAAAATGTTTTGTCCTCTCTGGAATTATCTTGATGTATGGATCTTTAGGTATTCTAACTTTTTTGCCCCAAAGGGTTAGCCAGTTGTTAACATATTGATCTTTTCCCCCAACATATGAAATGTCATACATGTATATACTTTATTCTGTGTTTGGATTCCCTTTAGTTCCATTGAACATTGTGGCACCAGTACACCAGCCTGTAGATGAGTTAGAAATGGGACTTTGTATCTGTTATTGTGAGACCTCCTCTTGATCTTCTTTATTTTTTACAATTTTCTGACGATTCTGACATGTTTATTTCACCAGATGATCTTCCGTCAAAAATATATTGAAAATTTGGTTGGGATTCTCTTAAATTGATAATGACAATAAGGACTACAGAATTGCATTGCTTTCCAGAAACATATGTTGCCTTGTTTCTAAAAAGCTTTATATATCCTTCAATAGAGTTTTATTTAAATCCTGTATAATTTGTAAGAAATATGTTCCTAGGTAATACAAACATAAAGGGAACACATTGATATTGCTTATTGGAGCTTTTAATATGTTACCTATTGGGTCATTTTTGCTATAGAGGAGAAGAATTTATTTGCATAGATTATTTTAAATTGGCAGTTTATTGAAATTATTAATTTTAGAGATATTCATTTGATCCTTTTGAGTTTTTCCAGGTGAGAAATTCTATCAATGATGTTATATGATTTCCTTTTCAAAATTTATAACATAGTTTCTGACTGCATGGGTTAAACATTTTCATAACAGTGCTAAATAATAAAGGTGTCAGTGGCATATTTGTCTTGTTTCTCATTTTAACCAGAATGTGTTTGCTGCAACAATTCCAAAGTGTGTTTTGTGGAAAAAATATTCTTCTGGAAGACAGGTAAATACGTTTGCAAAATGCTGTATACTTTAATCTCTCTTGGAGACTCATTGTGCAATAAATGTTGGGTAGTATTTTTTTTAATGAGTAGCTTCTTCAATTAAAAAAAACTATTTAACTTGGTGTAACTCAGCATTTTCTGAACTTACGTGAGCACAGAACCATCTTTTATTTTTCCTTTAAACACACATGATAACATTTGGCCTATCCGTGCTCCTCAGAACACTAACTTAGGAAATGGTAATTTATTATTTAATTATTATATGATGCCAGGAATTTGACATAATCACAAAGTCTGTCATAATAAATTCAGTAATTTTAATGACAGATGATTTTATATGGAAATACTAAAACTGTAGGCATAGAAAATAACAGTAAATCAATAGAAACTGGATATTAGCTGAGGCCTAGCTCAGACAGTTTAGCAGATCAATTTGTTTTGAACATTGAAGGAACAGAAAATTCTTTAATTAGCTTTGCCAAATGTTTATCTATTTTTAAGTGTATTTTGTTTTCTCCTGAAAAAAGTCCAGGTCTTTATTAAGTCTACTATTACTTTGCTTCCTAGTTTATTAATTTTGGCTTATAACGTCATTTATTTTGGTCTTTTTAAAATTACTTTTAACTGTTCTTCCATCTCTTACACGATGTAATTTCCTCCTATTACTTTGAAGGTTCATTTTAAAGGCTCTGTTTTTGTTTGGAGTTTTCTTTCTTCATCTACTGTTGATCCAAGATTTATCCATTTATTCATCATTGAATCAAGAAGGGTATATCCTGACCTGCTATCCCTCCCCCTCTAACAAGAGTGGAACAGTTTTTTTTTTTTTTGTATCTTTTCACTGTTTACTGGGTTGTCACCCCCCTTCCACTGGCTCTGTGATCCAGCAAGATATGGTAGTAGGGAGGGAGCTAGTGCCAGGGGCAAATGCAGCAGGATGACTTCACACTCAGGACAGCTTTCCTCATTTGCTTTTGTCCTCTGTTTCAGGTACGTGATATCATATATACTTTTACTACTTGTGTGGGAGAGGAGGGGCAGGAGGGGACAGAGATACAACTTGGAAACAAAACCTGTTGGTTCATTAAAGTGGACTCTTGCATCAAGTTGAGATCACCATGCTAGTTGAGAAACTATAACCAGAAGACACTTGAATTTGCATGTGGACGAGCTTGCCCTCTGAGAGAAGTCAGCCTGCTCCAAATTATGTTGATCTGCAGTGTCAAAATAGGACCACATGGACTAATTGCTATTGGGGCTTATCCTAGTGATCAAGGTTGGGATGTCAGGAAAGCCATTTGGCCTTTGTGTCATAATTCACAAAGGGAGTCAAATTCAGAGTTTTGACATTATCCTAAATGAATTGATAACTTCAGCCACAAAGCCAGAATGACCTGATGGAAAATGTTTGTCATACAGCTTAGTTTAGTATATATAAAAAATTAAAATATTTGGCAGTTTTTATATTTCTAATTTAGAATTGTTTTATTTAAAAAAATATATCGAGGCCAGGTGTGGGAGCTCACACCTGTAATCCCAGTATTTTGGGAGGCCTAGGTGGGCAGATCACTTGAGGTCAGGAGTTCGAGAGCAGCCTGGCCAACATAGTGAAACCCCGTCTCTACTAAAAATACAAAAATATTACCCGGGCGTGGTGTTGCACGCCTGTAATTCCAGCTACTTGGGAGGCTGAGGCATGAGAGTCACTTGAACCCACGAGGCAGAGATTGCAGTGAGCTGAGATCACACCATTACATTCCAGACTGGGTGACGGAGTGAGACAATTCCTCATAGAGTTCAGGACCTACTCTCATGCCACCATTTTCCCAGAAGTCTGTTAAAAGACTTAGGGGAAAAGCAGTTTTCTAAAAATAGAAAGGAGAAGCATGATTCAGCAGACGTGAGACTGAATCCATCTCAAAGAGCAGGCTTCATCAAGTGATGCACCTGCTTGCATAGTCTTTACACACTTTGTAGGTAAAAATCCTTGGCAAAACCTGCTGTAAACCAAGAAGCTCAAAAGTTTGAGTAATGCCATTTTTAAAAGGAGTTGTTTGTCCCAACATATAAGGACAACATTTATTTGACGAGTGGATATGAATTGAGGCACATAGCTCCAGCTGTATTGAGGTATCTGAGCACAGATTTTTGGGTTCCCTCAAACAGCATTTTTGAAAGACATATTTAGAACTTCTTGACCACATGTGTAGATTAGCAAAGTTAAGATAATTTCAAGAAAGATTCTGTAATTCATTATTGAAAGGATGGTTGATAAGCTTGAAAGAAAGAAAAAAATGGCCATACTTGGCCCTGGCATGGATTTCACAAGATTGTCAGACTAAATTTTGTTAGGTTGGAATCGCAATAATAGCTAACATACTCATTGCTATGTTCAATCTCATCATAGCCCTATATGATAGCACCATTCTAAGTGTTACCAGCTTAGAGAGAAGGAAAAAAGCTGAATGAGATTAAGTAACTTCAGCAAGGTCACACTACTTACTGTTAAGTGGCAGAGTCAAGATTTGAACCCAGTTCTGAGATTCTAGACTGTCTTAAACAGTATATTATACTTGCTTCCCTTAAGTCTATTAAACTATTCTGGTCTATTAATTGGAGGTTTTACAATAAGTTGTATACTAGCTGGCCTCCTGGGTGTTGTTCAGAAGACAGATTAGCTCTTGTTAAATAAATACATCTCTGCTACTATTCACATTGGAGCAGTGTACATAAAAATACACATGTGAGAGTCAGCTCTGTCATAAATCAGTAACTGCAACTTAGAACTTTGCCTTTCTTACTTTCAAGTTGTGGGTTATATTTGAAACTGCTCTTAAATACATGTGTTCATGGTGGTCTAATACATAACAGTATGTCTCCAAACAGGCAATCACATGAGCCACTTGTACTTCAGCTGCTCTGGGGGATGCCTGCCCTTTTGCTCAACTGCCTTCCAGAGATCTCAGAAGGCAAGCATTGTTTACCTTACCAAGCCATTTTGCAGTTTCTCATAATGTCCTTGAGATTAAAATGGAGTAACATGATAATGACAGGACAGTATATGGGTTAATAATTTGAATTGACAGTGTTCAACAATGTGGATATCAATGTGAACAAAGATTTACAACCTCAGCTCTGTCCCATCAAAGTTGTTTTATAATGATTAGCAAGAAAATATAAAATAGCATGCCCATCCCATTGCAAGTAATATAGAATTAGATGGCAGAATAAATGTACTTGATACCACTAGCATGATCCAAAAAGTCCTTAAAGGCTGAGGAAAAAAATAGCCAAATCTAGTAGGATTAAACTGAATAGGATCAAATGTGAAGTCCTGTACATATATCAAAACTTCAGTTATCAAGGGTAGGTGGTTACATGGCTTAAGAATTGCATATGTGAAGAAGACTCTAGTTTTAATTTACTCTAAGTTCAACATGAGCTAGCCATGTGAGGTTACAGTGTACCACATATAATGAAATATTAAGCTCCATTAATAGAGTCATGGTGTCCACAACAAGAAAGGCCTTAAAAATCATGTTTATTCTGTACTTGATAGTTTATGTTGGGAGATTGGGGTCATATCAGAGTGACACAATCAAGCTGTACACAGACAGCCTGGAAAGTGACCAAGAAGGTGACTGGTTTACAAGCAGACATGACAGTTATTGAAATGATCGGGAATGCTTTACACTTAAAGACAAGTTTGTGGATATTTTCTTCAAATAATTGAAGGCCTGTCACGCAGAAGAGAGGTAGCATTTGCCTGAGTACTTCTAGAGGACAGATCAATTCAAATGTTTAAATAAGTAAAAGTTTCTGCATACTATTAGGAACTTTCTCTCATTTAATTGTAGATACTTTCATTTCTGGAGCTGCTTCAGCAGAAACCCACTTGGCAGGAATGGTTTTATGTATCAGGTAGAACTTTGGATTAGAAGACCTCCAAGGTTCTTGGAAAAGCTAATGTTCTCCCAGTGAACTTTACAGCTTCTTACTAAAGATGCAAATTCTGGGATCTAAGTTGTTCTAGAATGAAGTCATCTTACAGACTTCAGTCCTCCGTTTCCTAGTTTAGTAAACACTCGTGAGTAGACTGAATATATTTTTTTACATGTAAGATCTAGGTAAATTCATTTTATTTTTTAAGGCTACACGTGGGAAAAGGACCCAAATCACATGATGTTAAAATGAATGTCACAAAGTGCTCAGGGCTTGAGAGGAGAAAATAGGAAGGGTGTCTGAGGTCAAAGGACTCTGGTTGGAGGTTGAAGGCTACAGGAGTACTCTGACCTCCTGTTTCTCTTGATAATATTCCCCTATCCCTTGTCATTCATAGTAGTGGTTAAAGTGGTGGGAGGAAGCTGAAATAGTAGAATGTGAAATGTGATGGCAGAGGGTATATTTTAATTCCACATATATTTCTTTAGTCACAGTGATCCTTTTGGAGCAGGAAAAAAATGTTTGTGTTTTCCCTTATGTGACCCCCAAGTGGGTGTCCTTATATTAAATAAATTACTTAAGATTCTGAGTCACTATGCTTTATATTCTTTATAAGTTGCACTAGCATTTCAAAGGGTCTGGAAAAGAGCATCCTGTTATCAGTGACAGGCTGAAACACAACACGTGAAATTCCTTATTTGTGGATATGAATTGAACATCAAATATGGGTATGAGAGAGTGCTTATGTGCATTTCTGTGTGTGCTAAATCAGGGTTCTCCACATACTCATAATGATGAATGACCTTCATACTATTCTACATTAGATATTTGCCTTCTGCGTAGACCTTGACCTGGTTGAACCACATATCAGAGGCAAAATCACAGCTCACTGCAGCCTTGAACTCCTGGGCTCAAGCTATCCTGCGTCAAGGAATCCTGAGTCAAGCTTACCCTGCATCAAGCCTC